TGAATCTGGTGTGCGTAGTGACGTGGTCATAAAGCGGGAAGTCTGAGACCAGATCTTGCAAACCTGCTTTGAATTGCTCTCCTGATATGGCCTGGGATTTTAGAGCACGTAAGTTGAAGTCGCCGGTGACTAGAATGTGACTGTACTTCCTGTTTATCACTTGCCTCAACGCAGCCATCAAGTTGCAGTCCATCTCAGGAGTAGACGATGGTGGGCGGTAAACAACAACCAATAGGCAAAGATCGCTCCCTCTCAGCCGGAAACCACACCAAATGGCGTCAGGTACGTCGGTTTCCGAATCGTTTATGGGTTCGCATTGCAGGTTGTTACGAAAGTAGAGGGCTACCCCATAACCTTTGCTGGCTCAATCCTTCCGGACAACAGACATGCCAGTTAGCACGATTTCAGCATCCGTTATCTCACAGCGCAACCACGTTTCGGTGACAGCGATGAGGTCCCAAGCTGCTGACGCGTGTCGAAGTCTTAATTCAGGTAATTTGCTGAGTAGACCTTGGGCATTTGTGTACATGCATGAGAGCTTCTCGGAGACCAAAAGTGTGTTAGACTGGATGGGTGCAGGAAGTGAGTTTACGCCGACCAATAAAGAGTCGGCGACTAATGGTTTTTTGGATGGGTTGCAGACTCTCGAGACGAATTTGGTATATAGTCAAATATCTGATGCCCCGGATCCCGGTGTTTGCTCGTGCTCTGATGTGTCCCTCCGGATATTATGGCAACTGTTGAAACCGTCCCCGAGTCGGGTCCTGCAGTTGGGGTTTTCATTGAGAGTTGTGCCTCCACTGAATCGTCATTAGAAGGTGCTGGCGTTCTCGCTGCTTTCAGACGAATTTCTATTGGCAATCTGCAACGGAATTTAGTCCAGTTCTCTAGAAGAGTATGTGCCGTTATTTCTGATTGCAACACAAATTTTAACAGCCTGGGACCGCACCCCTTATAGTTTGGTGATATGGGGATTCTTGTCAGCGAGCTGGCCATGACATTTTCGAGAGAAAGAGCCTCCGGGATGCAGTGCTATTGCTCGCGGTCCAGCATCCGAGCCTCGTCGGAAGAGGAATCTGTAAGCTTAGGAACATCGTGAGCAGTCACTGTTTGCTTATCGACTTTTCTGTACCTCTCTCTGTTAGCGAGATCCCGTTCTTTCCACGGGATTTCAGGTAGTATGCGTACTCCACTTCAGTCGTTGCAGAGACGATTCGCAGACAGCAGAACGGCCTCAGTCTCGTCCGTCGAGTTTAGTGTTACCCGAAGTAACCGGGGTTCGCCGTAGTGCAACGCGTTTGGGTGGCGCGAGATTCTTTTTAATGTCGTGGGATTAGCATGGACACCGATCGACGTACAGATGGAACCCCACTGATTCCGATCGTCCGTCAACCTACCCTTAATTGCATTGGATTTGGATTCGGGGACATTTGTGAACACAAGGTTTAAGGCACCATGGTTGCGCCTGGTGGCTACTGGTTTTGGATTTGGAGGCTTAGTATCCGGTGTTTTCTGTGAATTTGTGAACGGCACTGATGGGTGCCATCCGTGCTGCGACACTTTAGTTTTCTCTAGTCCGGGCACAAAGGTTGCCGGTGCTCTTTCCGGTGTTTGTTTGGCGGTAACCGATGCGTACGTTGCCGGGTTGTTCACTATGGCTGGTTGACTGTAGCTTACGGTCTCTTGTGTAGCGAACAGACTACTAGGTGCAACACACTGTACAGAAGTTGGGGCAGGCGCGCTGCAGGCAATGTTTTTACTTATCGGAGAGAGAAAATGGAGTTGGTAGTGCTGGAGGCCGAGTGGTTGGGGTAAGGTTGGGAGTCCTAGCCTTCTTCTTCAGCCTGACTAGGGAATTCGGAGTGTTATTTTCACATACAAGTGCAGGTCCGTTTCCTCCCATGGGTGTAACCCTGGCACGCACCAGCTGCTCGACAGCTTCTGTTAGTCTATCACACCTCTTCAGTAGCACAGCTAGACAGCTAACAACTGGGATAGAATTGCATACATGGCAGAACCAAAACGCTTCTGCCGTGTTAGTGTACCGATTTGATTTTTTCGGCCCCGTCACAAGTCAGTTAGTGTGATAGGATTTCAAACACATTCTTTACCACTTTAGCACATGATTCGCATTTGCTCTTCATATGGAACATATTCGCAGTAGGTGTGCTGTTTTAAGGTCACGCGTTTGTCACTTCAGCTTTCCAGGTCAAGGTAAGCGTGAGTCAGCGTGATACGCTGACTGTCACCAGTGTTCCCTTGTACGCCCATATTGAAGTGTTGGTCGGTTGATCGATCGATGTTAGGTCCGGTTGGTTTGGGACCCAGTAAATGAAACTACACAGCGGTGAAAACAGATCGTGAGATCACAAATTTCTTCACGGATGCGTTGAAAAACGCCGGATGGGAATAAGCTTAGGTTTTTCTTTCTGCCTCGAGAATTCCGCACCGAATGGTAGTACACAGAAGGGCAATGGGCATAAAGTGAATGAGTTATCCACTTGTGTTCAATCGCGGATGACAATCAAATCGGTTAGTGATGGTTAAAACTTTAGTGGTATAAGATAATTCCGCGTATAATAGATCACTGTGTAGCGCTGGTAAATCCGGTTCGAATGAGCATGCGGTGTCTACGTTGCGAGAAGATAGAGAGAAGTTAGAGAGGAGTATTCCAAATGAACCGAGAGCACGCACGTCAAGCGTGTGTGTGTTCAAAAGCATGCACCAGCATACACGGCAGTGAACCGTATAGCAAAAGTTCGAGACACTGTTGCCAATCTTCGGCACATATGACGCCGACGAGACATCACTCTCACTCTCAACGGTAGTTTGCAACGTTGCTGTGTCTTCAACCCACCTGTATGACTGTGAAATCTTGCCCATCAGGTTCACAGACGTATGACCACCGCTGCTTCCCAGCTTACTTCACATCTGGTGGCAACACTGCGTAAGCAACGAATGCGTTCGGCGTCGCCTATTTGGCGCAGGAAGAGTGAGTTAAGTGCTCAGCACCATTATATCACGCATCAGACTCCGATGGCTGAGGCACGTGTTGCACATGCCAGCACACCGACTCCCGCGTCGTTTGCACGACCGGGGTTGGATTGGTGAAGATAAGAGTAGGCTAAGCGATGATTTGGTCAAGAGGAATGAAAACCCTCACTTCATACTTGGTGTCGGTTGGTGCCTCCCGACTGCCTAGCTGGAGTCCGAAGGAGGATAAGCACGTCTGCTTGAATACACTTGTAAACATGGTGAAGAGCCGACCACAAAGACGTTTGCGTTGTGGGTTTCTATGTCTCACTCTCCTTTAGCCCCCCCCCCGCTCCAAACACGATCTCATATCCAAGGCACAGTATGATACTCAGCAATATTTTGCTTTTTTGTCTTCGTGGTCCGACATTTGATTGCGTCAAAAAAGTATGTTATGTTCCCTCTGGAAAAGATACAACTTCTGTTTATCAAAATGATAAAAAGAAGTGGATAAATCGATAGTCGTGTGCCAGTGTTGGAAGGAGCAACACCCAAATATTTCCATTCCAGATACGGTCCTCGCGATCGGAATGACAGAGGTTTACCTCAAAGTGAACAGATGTCTCAAGAGAGGTTGCGAGTCGCAACCCAACCACACAGCGTGTTCCTTAAATTCAACTTTGAAAAGAAATAGATTTACATTTTTCTTATTAGGCTCTGATCGATAAATGGTACATGACTATACATTCATGATCACGCTTAAATAGATGTGTCTAGCATCGGCCAAAATAAAAGCCTAGCAGTTTATAAATTCAGGTTTAGACTAGACTGGTCTGAGGACAATTCAAGTGATGTTGCTCAAACATTTTTAGTGTAATGAGCTCCATCATAGATTGTGACTCGAATGAGTTGTGATATTTTATTCGGCATCAGCTCAAAAGAGCTGATCACTTACTATTCGCATAGAAAGCGGTGGTGGATTGGATGTTAAGGAGCCCAGGAGTTTCCACGTGGTAAGCTAATGTAGATCAGGAAAAAATTTGTTAAAGATGGCTGGTGGTCACAACATACTAGGCACGAAGGGAGTAGTTATGAAAGGTAGATAACATTAGGGACTGAGTACACAGGAACCTATTAGTACCAGAAAGTCGATCTCAAAATGGCATTGATTTAAGTAGCAGATTGGTATGGCAAGTAGATGAAAAGTATACCCACTGACTATGGGGTGGCGCTGAGGATTTGAGTAGGAATCAATGTTTTCCCACCATAAGATGCGAATGCTTACTATCTCAGTGAACCAAGTATGGAGATGGGGGGCATAGGATGTCTCGAACAGCACACGCCGGGACAACCGTCTTGTCCGGTCGCCTAACGATAGAATAAGATTTGAACAAATGGCTTTGCTATTGTCGCCCAAATATTATGACCAATGGGACACTGACCACCGTGAGCGACGGTAACAAAAGGGCAGTTGAGAATCAGCCCGGATCGTGATAAGCCTTGGCTTATACAATCCTTTGTGCGTTTGAAGTGCGGACAATCTCAAGTAAGAAGATGGATTAGGTTACTATAAGATTGCTCACTAGGACAGTTTAACCAGCTTAATAGCAGAAAACGATGCGTTTAGACACGCGACAACAACAACGAAGTGCCATGCTGTGTGCAGCGACGGTGATGGATAACAGCAGTTGGCCGATATGCAGTCTCGACGCCTCGCTGTCGCGCAACCACCAACAGTCGTGCGTGGGCTACAGATACTGCGGGGGACGCCCAGTCCCCTAAGCAGGCTCGAACGAGCGCCCTCGGATTACCAGGCAGGCTTGGTATCATTTAGGTCACAGGCCGGCGGCAGGGAGCGGCACCATCAGGATTAGGGGACATATCGATTCCGGTGGGGAAAGCAAACATGTGACCACATTCTAAGGCAGCACCAAAACCGAGGAAAAGGAAAGGCAAGCAATGAAGGAAAGTAGAAAAGGGCAGTGACGTGTACAGTATCCCAAGTTAGCCTGACAACATGCACTCACTCATCCAATATAGCAACTGCTTTGGGCTTAAAGATGAAATCGGATTCGTATTGACCAAGAACTGACTGCTGCACGCGACTTGCAAGGCGCGTGTATAGGACGACCTCCACTGTCATTCGACGGTTGGGTAACGAAGCGACAAGACTGTGCATTCTGCAACAATCGGACAAGCTAAGTGCACTTCCCTGGGCCTCGCTCAGCATGCTTTGCTCTAAAAAGAGACGAAAAGAATAAACAGGGTCGTAAAATCAAATCGCCAAGAGAGTTTCATTGTTATTCCGAAAGTTAAATTGGATGGATAGTGTTGGTGGGAGACGGAGTTAAGCGTTGGAGGTATCCTCACAGAAAATAATAACACGCCACTTTAATGATAGAATAACATGCGTAGAGAAACAGGAAAAACTTTTACAATTCAGCTGACGTATCGGGGCCGGTGAATTAGAACCATAATAGTTCGGATTACATACGGACAAGATTTGCACGCGGGCTTCAACCAGATCAACTTAGAAGGAGCAGTAAGTGAGAAATAAGTGACATAAAGAGCATCATACAATATGGAGAGCAACGGTACAGAGGTAAACGAAGTACACAATACAGAAGCTACAGGGCTGGAAGCCGGTTGTCTCAGGTAGCCGTTCGGTCCGTGTTTGTAACAACGAACGAATTAAATTGGTGGATGAGTCCAAGCAGTTAACCTTCAGCCAGATCATTCCCACACAACCAGAAAAACATCCCACGGCCGTTTCGTCCTACTGGTGGGACTCATAAGCCGTGTGCACCCCATGGCTCTAGTAAGAACAGGAACCATGGCGTATCGAGTGAACAGCTAATAGCACTATGTCCTAGGCCGCGAAGGCAAGCCGAAATACAAAAGTACAAATGGTTAGCAGAATCCGTTTCCGGAAATGACTGTCACAGCGACCGCAAAAAGTAACAAGACGTCTGCACCTACAGAGGGACTAAGGGTGGCTTGCGTTGCACCACCCACAGCGCCATTCACACGCCCCATATCCAGTGCAAACCCGAATGAATAAGGCCGGGAGACATGTCATTGGGAGTAATGAATGATGCAGGGTCGGCACACACTTGTTACCGGAGGTGAATTGACTACTGGTTTGTTCGGCGGAGCTATCCGCCACCGCGAGCGCCCCTAAGTTGCAAATTGCGGAACGTCTTCCTTGTGAAGGTACCTGTGAATAAGTCGGTGTTCGTATGCGAGATGAATAAGCGTCGTGGACAATCAGCGGCAGCGTCCAAGAGCGTGGGTCCAGTGCAGGTCACCTAGTTCTTCATAAAATACCACAAAAGCTCGTAACCCGCTGTGTCAAAGCCAGTGTGATCGGCAATAGGGTCACTGACCGCTCCTGCGACCAGAAATGAGTACAAAACAAAGGGTGGATGAACTACTTCGATGGCTACCGCCTTCTATGAAGGCGTTTGCGCTAACTGTCAAGGGCATTCATGCTCATCGGCGAGTTCGATGGCCGTCGCAACGAGACTGGACCTTAAGGTGATGCGACGGTTTGAGTACCTAATTGACTTATTAAGCTATACTGAGTGGTGTCTCCTGGCCAATTGAGAGCTACTTCTAAAAGGTTCGTTATTGGTTAGAGGTCAGACAAACTGTCTCCAGGTCCTCCAAGCAGAAGGTTTTAAGTGTGATAGCGTCCAGTTCTGTAAAACTAAATCATTACCAAATCACCGCTGCCTTGGGGACAGGCTTTGAGCCAAAGGATGTGGATGAGTACCGTAATCGTCCTCCTGTGGAGGTCTGGGCGCGTTGGCAGTATCTCAGCCCACATAAAACCTTGACTTTACCTTCAAACATAAACTTCATCCTGCATCGGCCGTCGCGCAGATTATCAAGGGTCGCCTTATCTGCTGTATACAGCAAAGCGGATAAGCAAAAACATGCTACCGTTGGCGCCCCCTTCTTCCTCCTCTACCTGTATTTCTTACTCCCATCCGAGCCCACATTACTAATCTTCCTTCTATAATTCCAAGCTTAATTGACAGCAACCGAAGTGCCACTGGAATAGAACCATTTGCAACCACTTTTCCACAATACCCACCAGACTCCTATCGACAACAACCTCTAATAAGGCCACGCCGCCCCGTTTCCCTGGTGGCGTTCAACGTTCGCACTATAAAACATATAGCTCAACAGGCTGCCCTGGCACGCGCGTTAGACACTGTGTATTGATATATGTTGCACATCCGAAACAAGAACACTAATGGGTAGTTGAATTAACTACGCCAGCTTGTCTTCTCGCTATTGGTTGTACGCATCCGGAGACACCGATGCGTCAGCCTTTAGTCAAGTTGGTGTAGGTATCATTCTCAGCTCCAAGGCTGAGCCATCGTTGGTTGATTGGATTCCTGTGAACAGCCGTTTATGTGCAGGCCGTTTGACGACATCAATTAAGGTTGATTCACGAAGTAGTACAAAACGCTGTTTGTTTGTGATTTCCGCTTATGCTCTCACCGATTGCAGTTCAAATGCTGTCAAGGACAAATGCTACCACGAATTGAACGCGCTACTACGCAGTGCTACTAGTTCAGAGATCCTAGTACTTGTATGCGATACGAACGCACAAGTAGGGCGTCTGAGCTCTTCAGAAACTCAGCTAGGTTGTAATTATGGGCTTAACTCTGAGCGAACTGACAACGGCAAGCGTCTGCTGAAAACGCGTGCGGAGCACCAGTTGTTTCTTAGTAGCACTGCTTTTAGACACCGAGAGCACCGAAATGCCACTTGGCGTCCTCCTGTAGCTGGACAGCGATGGATCCAAATTGATCACATTGTCATAAGTTACAGGTGGCGTGGTTCAATCCTGGATTGACGCCCGTACTGGAATACCTGTGTGGACTCTGATCTTGTCTTGGTACGCTGTCGTTTCTACATGAACTTTACAGGGAGGCGCAACAAGCGTCTCCCGCGATTGGCAACTGAGAAACTGTCGGAGCTCTCGGTCAGACAAGCCTATCAAGACGCACAGCGTACCGAAGTTTCGCACTCTTACTCCAATGATACTGAGCTTCGATGGAGTAGGATATCGGCCACCATGCATAACGCAGGAGCATCTGCTTGTGTCACTATCAATGATCACCCCACCAGTCATTAGATATCCGAGAAAACGGTGGCTGTTGGAATTCAGAAGAAACCCCCCGCCTGGCTCCGAGTACAATGTGACGAAACGGATATTAGGCGCGAACTAAAGCGGAGCCTATGTGCTGACAAGATAGCCGGGTAGACCAGTCGGGCTCAAGAAATGGTGAAGGCAGGAGCAGTAGGCAATTACCGCAAGCTCTTCCAACTGATTCGCACCACTGGTCCCAGGAAACCAGGCGTCAGTGAGACAATCAGAGACAGCGCGGGAAGACTGATACACAGCAAGGAACGCCACATTGCTCGTTGGACAGAGCACTTTTAAGATCAGTTCAGTTGGCCCCATTCTCCCGGACCGATTTTTGCCCAGGCGATGCAGGACGAGCCACGGACGGTGAGTTTAGAGCCTCCGTCGGAGGTTGAGGTCCGAAATGCGATCACAGTCCACAATCGTTTTCGTTCCGCTAACCCGGATTCCCTCCCATTGGCACTATTTAAGGATGGAGGTGAGGTCCTCTATAAAACACTGACCTCCCTCTTCAAACGTATCTGGAAGGAAGAGAATGTCCCGGCTAACTGGAGCGAATCGATTATAGTGGCAATATATAAGAAGGACAATCGCACGGACTGTTCTAACCACAGAGATATTATCTTAACACCAGTTGTGACAAAAGTATTGACCTCGATTCTCGATCGTCGCCTCACTACGGAACGGGAATCTCGGATTAGGGAAGAAAAGGCAGGTTTCCGCATAGGACGTGGCTATATAGACCATATATTTACTTTGCGGCAGGTGCTAGAGCAGCGCCACGCATACCGCAGATGGACAATAGCTGTGTTCTTCCGTTTTAAGACTAAGTTCGATACAGTCGATCGAGGCATTCTGTTTGAAATACTTGCGTGCAAAGATGTTCCCACGAAATATGTGAACATCATACATGCTCTGTACTCGAACACTACAGGCCGCGTCAGGGTTTACCGTGGCCTATCGGATAGCCTTCCGAACATAAGTGGCGTTCGTCAGGGTTGTCCGATTTCCCCGTTTTTGTTCAATTTCGTCGTGGATTCTATCATGGAGTGTTTCCTTGCGGAATATCACGATGGAGGCGTTGAAGTGCTGCCTAGTGAAAAGTTAGTTAATCTCGATGATGCGGGCGATATCGTCTTGCTTTTCGACGATATTGCGGTGGCACAATCAAATCTGAATAGTCTGTCTAGCGTAATCCGATTATTTGGTATGCGTCTCGCACCTTCAAAGTGCAAAGTGTTGCTGCAGGACCACCAGCCACATTATGACCCCTTGATCCTTGCTAACGAGGAACTCGAGGTGGCTGATCAATTCACTTATCTTGGCAGCCGCATCAGCAACTACACAAGTCAGTTCAAACATTGCAAAGGCCAGAACTGCCTTCTTGAACCTGCGGCATCCTTGGCGACAGAAGGGACTTACTCTCCGTATGAAAGGCCGGGTATACAAGGCCACAATGAGGACCGTTCTTCTCTATGGTAGTGCAACTTGGCCCCTTCGGTCTGAAAATCTGAGGTGCCTTCAAGCTTATGATCATCGTTGTCTGCGAAGCATTGCTGGTGTCGGATAACACTAGTGTGTCTGCAACGATGATATGCGTAGGCGAGTACTAGGTAGTGATAATCATGCTAGCTCCCTAGAACAACAAATAGCACAGCATAAGTTGTATTGTCCTGGGTACATGCTACATAGGCTTGGTCACCGCTTACTTAGGAGGACTTTGTTTAGTCTGTCAGGTGTAGGATGGCGCAAAGCTTGAGGTGGACAGAAGTTGATTTGGCAGCGTGAAGTGAAGACATTGATGACCCAAATGAGTGTCGACGCTCCGTCTCGCCTTCCGTGCGAGAGTCCACGTGACTCACCTTGTGCTTTGCTCGAGACATTACAGGACATGACTCGTAACTGACACCAGGGGCGCGTCTGCTGCCGCCTCCTAGTCGGATTGCCTGTTTAGTGTTTGATGCTGAGTTATCTGCGGGGTAATGGCTGATTATGACGCGTGTCAGCGAAAGCCACAAGGAAGCTGTCCCGCCGATGCTGCCTTATCTTTGCACGATAGCCAGCTTTTGTAACGGTATGTTGTCTACACAAGGTGTAGGTGCCTTGACCCTGAATGTTTGCTTAGGGCATTAATGTCTTCCAATAAGTTCCCCTTCTCTCCCCCTTATTAATCTTTATTTCATAGGTCTTTATGATTGCATGGCAGCGAAGCATCAGTTCAAATGACTGAAGTACCGTTTTTGTTGGTTGTTGTTGTTGTTGTTGTTGGGCTGAGCAAATGAGTACAGTTGAAGATCACTGGTGGTATATTCGCCAGATATGCCTTCATGTAGCAAACCAAACTGTTAACCTGGGCATTGCGTCTGTACTCAATCTCCGGAAATTCTGAATGACGAGCTCCGGTTGGAACCGAACACAGTGCGACTCGCAAAGATAGTAGGGCAAAACTGAGTGTTTTCCTGGAAAGATACCGGAAAACCTGGTGGTCTGATCTTGTGTAGGAGATTGAAATAGCCGCCGCCGTTGGTTACCATCCCTATTTCATCAGATACGAGATATGGTTGCCCCCTGACACTATTCATCTTTAATTCAACTATTGACGTAGTAATGGAAACGGCGTTCGCTCGACACGATCTACAGGGTCTGGAGCCGCTTTCTGATGAACGACTTTTTGACTTGGAGTTTTAGCCGTTTGTTCAAAGGAATATAGACTGGAGAAGAAAAGGTGAACTACCCAAGCTCAGTCCACAGGCGATCCGATTTCACTACGGTCGGTGTACTAGAGCAAACTCATGACAGTGAACGTAACGCTCTGTATTGCTGATGTGTGCGATGCGATCTTCTTATTCATTTAAGTGACAGAAAGTGTTTAAAGAGGTTCTCTCCGACGGAACAGGGTTTTGCGAAACACAAAGATATACTGTAATAGCTGTCGAACTTCAGTCGGTCCAGTGCCCTTTCCAAACTGGGTATCACGGGACCATGACTCCCAGTAGTTGTAAAAGTTGGATGTTATGGCCCGCGATAGACCTCAAGGCTCCAGTGTTGTTCTACTGTATCGTTTAATATAGAAAGTTAAGTCGGGAAAGAAAACTCAAATGGACCTGATTACACTGTTGGGAAAAACGTAAAAAAAGAAGGTGGAGCTGAGACAAATGTTGATTCGCTTTGGTGTAATATGAGAAAAGTTAGTGACATATAGATTGCCATCTTCATGTCACTCGATGTGGCTTCGCTAAAAACGAGCAGTCTGATGACATCGGATATGTGTCGCCTTGTGTCTCGGAACACACCATCGAGACGCACAAACAAGTTGTACTGAGGCTTCCATGATATGCAATTACGAGTGGTGGTGAGAGAGCAGGCAGGAAAAAAGTGCTGTATACCAGAAGTTTGCCAGGGGATTACCCACCGCAAAGTTCCAGTTAGAGTGTTCATCATCATCATCGTCGTCGTCATCATCACCATCAGCACCACCACCACCATCATCATCATCGCCGTGGTTATCATCATCATTATCATCATCACCATCAATACGTGTTAGCCGAGGATGAGAAACACATCTCAGCTAATGTGTCGCAATAACATAGACAATAGGCTAAACATTACAGACTACAAAAGGTAAAAAAGGTAATAGAATGCTAGAAGTACATTATGCATTTCGTTGAGATTGTTGTTGGAGGGGGAATGAACAAGAGAACTCACAACACAAACGCCATTGGGGCCGGCTCTTCGCATGTCAGTTAGTGTATCCAACCAAACGTGTTCATCGTCCTTAGGACCCAAGCCAGCCAGTCGGGATGCACCAACCGACGCCACTTTCGAAGTGAGGGTATTCATTACTCTTGATCAAGTCAACGTTTGGCCTCCCCACCTCCTCTTATACCCGCACCCCCAGCGTGCAAACAATGCACGACGCGGGAGTCGGTGTGTTGGCATGCGCCACACTTGGCCCAGCCACTGGAGCCTGGTACGTGATATAACGGTGCTGAGCGGTTCACTCGCTTTTCCTGCACCAACTAGACGACGCCGAACACGCTCATTGCTCACGCGGTGTCCTTACCAGACATGAGCTAAGTTTCGAAGAAAGCGATAGTCGAATGTTAGAGTGGTCCGGATTAGCCATCTGTGTGAATGATCCAGCTGGGATTTGATAAATCAGCCACAACTGTGAGAAGTGGACTGAGGAGCACAATGTTCATGTGAAATGGCCTGCTAAGCGACCCCACAGAAACCAATTGGGCAAAATGTAGACAGATAAAGAATCCACCACTCCGAAACCATTTTGTTCTCACACCTCAGGCAGTGCATGCAAATTGTCGACAAAGCTCTATTCGCTGCAACCGATGAGCACCACCATATAGTGGAATCAGGCGTAATGTGGGAAAGTGGTGAGTACAGGGTGTGGGACACAGACTTACCGGAACTTTCTGTGTTGATAGTCGGGGGAGATCCGAACAGACTAAGCGGGTAGTGGGCTGGAAAGCCGTACTCGTCAAACATGGGCAACCGTAATGATGATCCGGCCACAATGATACTCAAGTGCAAAATGCCGACCAAGAACTTGATTGTCTCATCCACCGTAATCAGACCAAATACATCAGAGGTGTCACAATCCCGACGTTTAGTCTACAACAAGGAGAAAGTCAGCAAATTCGTAGTGAAAGTTATACCAAGCACTCACGATCTAGGATCGTTTGGAAGTGAAGCGCATCACCAGTTGAGTTGAAATTTCTGCTAAACGAAATTCATCTGAAACATGGTTTTGGTGTTTTTTATAAATCCGGTGAAAAAGAGCTAGTTTACATCATTCGCAGCACTGTAGTGTGAAAAGGAACCTGGTACCAAGAAGCAGCGGTAATCGACTAGCAACCATTAAACGGAACAGTAACCTTGCTCAATTCGTGCTGCTGGACGGTAGTGTCTATGTTAAAAGTTTGCAAACAATCAGCTGGGTAACGGAATGCAACGAAAGGATCTAAAAGATTGAAGCGCCAATATCTGTGCACATACAAACGAAGAAAAAAAGTTGGAGCAGCAATTTCATCCGTACTGCCAAAATGACCGGCCTAAAGTAGTGTCACAAGTAAAAATGTGCTACTATGTGTTCGGACACTAAAATTGGGACAGACAGCTTTCATCAAAAGGTCCCAAATGACAGAAAGGACAAACAGGTTTATCCTCATCCGTTACAGAGGAAACAGTTTCCCAGCAAACAGTATTCCTCGCACAGCAGTATTCTACCGCTAGTGCGAACGTGCCAAAGCGGAAGAGAAATTGCATCATAGATGCACGGACCATTATGATTTGCAGGTCAGTAACAAAAAACGAAGCTGCACAATATCCCAAGCACTCCGCTAAGTGACACCTAACCTGAGCCTTGAACTCGAAAATTAATGATGAATACCACGCGACAGTATCGAATTCACAAAAATTAATAGCATCATTTACATGACATTCGCACTATCTCTTAATTCCAACGAGCCTCGTTGTTTCGTTTGATCTTCAACGGGGAAACTGTTTGAAAATCTAGCATATATCTAGACACACAAAGTATGTTCCGAACAAATACCCTATTGTATCTTTGTACTTTTGGATCAAGCCACGATTTACGTACGCCGCTCTTATGGGGACAAATTCAGGTATAAATGATTCATCCGTCACATTTGTGGGTAACCCTACAAGCGAAGAAAAGGGGAGTGCTGAGTTGTCCGGTTTAAGCATAAAATACGCATTTAAAGCATTAAAAAAGAGTGGTCACAGATGAATACACAAGCATGGAACATCCGTCCAATTTGTGAAGTGTGTTCTACATGGCGTAGCATGTAGCTCAAAGTTGAATGTGAAAAGGTGTCGGCTGCCAGAGATGGAGGATGTCTTACTGAGACACATGAATCAGGCATAAAATTGGGTTAGATCCAAAGATCAGAAAGACATATTGATGAAGAGCTAGCGAGGAAATAGAAGCCTGTGGTCAGGAACGGGATAATATTTCATTACAAAGAAGCGTGGTTTGAAGCATGGTTGTATCAGAAATTCTCCTAGTATCAACTGAGTTCATTACTCCCTTGAGAGTTCAGCTTAGATAGTAAGGTACAAGGGATGTGAATGCACGGATGGGACGGCGAGAACTCAGGAATCCTGGTTGGACTGTTTATTGGTGTGCAGTCTGCCGCACGCACAACGAGCAACAGTCGCCGCAGTCAATTGTTGGTGATTGGTAGTTTTGGAGCAGTGCAAACGTCATTCGTGGTGGCCTTCGATGCAGAAGACCTGTGACGTATGATATACTGGAACGTGTGCATGTTAAATGGTTTGTTCTAGGGGAAACTGTTCCACATAATGACTACACCGCAGGAACCAAAAAACAAGCGCCCAACATCGCCGTGGTGAAGCCGATGCAACCGCAAAAGTTCGGACTCCAGTCTGTATTGAGGCAGCATCAATCACATGCTGATCTTGAATCAACAACCGAAGGGTACACACACATGACAGCGGTCGAATGAAGTCGCTGGCGCATACCAAGCAAATGACTGATTCAGGCGTTTGAATACCTGTTAGAAACAGCGCCGAGGAAGCCCATAGGCAATGTATCACGACCTTAAAAGTACATTTGAAAGCCCGTGATTTAGGTTCATGAAATTGTAAGAATGCAAGGTTCTAACATTTGAAATCGGGTTGGGCTAGAAGCAAGATGGACTATAGCTTTCGTCAACAAGTGGCATCATCAAAGAAGGCCTTTTCCTTCACTTTATTGCCATGGTGTTCAAGATTTGGCGCAGCGTAAACTGCTGCAACCTCCAAGGAAACACAGCTCCTCAGAATATGGTGTGTCGACGCCGATAAAAGTGTTAAATCACAGGAAAAGAGAATGCAGGCAGCGGATGAGTCAAACCAATTTGCCTGCCGAAAAGGAGGAGCAGAATGTGTAGTAACCAAAGTTGGAATGTCCTGATTTAAATAATGACACCAGTGGTTTTATAACATAGTCACCCTTGAACAAGCAGTTTACAGTTAGCCAAGGATAGAGTGAGAAATGTTGACCATTTCTGGAGTGAACACCAACAAAGTAGGACAGCGAACATAAGAAGAGTTTAAATGATAAAACGAAGCAAGTTTAAGTGAGTAGTGGTATAAGTAAGTCGGGAAAGCAACGGTGTAACAGACAAAAAGAATGCATCCCAAAGCGGATTGCTAATAACTATACCGCCGGGAACCAGATGGGAATCTGCAGTTGCGGTTCCGAAGCGAACATGCACACCACTGAGTTGTTAGTGGATTAGCCAGTTGAAGCCTAAAAATGCGTATCCATGAAGAACCTCCTATGTGATGGGCACACAGAGTAGCAATTCTGTACAGTACACCACCGCTCATGCTCATTACCTAGTTCCATGCCTTTCACATCTTTATTTCCCACGTCAAAAAGCAAGAGGCTACTAGTGGGTACCGTAGATAATGATAACGATGCGATAAAATTGTCTCTCAGACCAAGGGTTCAATTTCAATCCAGATCCCTTAGCATTCACATCATGCATCAGTTAAGTCGGTGGGCACTCATTCTGGTGGAATCGGCATGCGGGGCCTCGGAAACACTCACATAAGACAGCAGCGTTGTATCGGACTTTGTACATATCCATAGTGATGGCAAATCGATTGTTTAAACTATATAGAGTGTTAATATCACTCTTAGCAGATAATGCGAAGTTATCTAGCCGGATGTATGTCAATGAAAAGCCGAATATGTGCGAGTCGACTTATACACTCCACAGTGTACGACACAAACGACAGCAACTAGAACGCCACCTAAAAACCAATTATATCCGCAATTCAAGCAAGCAAACCTTCAATCAGCAACCAGCAACAGTAGTACATTAGCCATTCGAACTGATGTTTCGCTGCCGAAGAAGAATAACAGGGAGAGAATGGGGATCCGGCGCAAAAGTTTAATGTCCCAAAAAAATTCAGGGTCAAGGCACTTGCACTCTGTATTGACAAAATATCGTCACAAACAGATGGCTGTCGTGCAAACAGCACGCGGCATTGGTAAGACACCTCCCTTGCGGCTTTCACTGCACCGCGTCATAATCAGCCATCACCCTGCAAATAACTAAGCAACAACCACACCCTTAAGTAGGCAGTCAAAATACGAAACCACAGCAGACACACCACTGGCGCCGACTACGAGCCATGTCCTGTAAGGTTTTGAGCTTTGCACAGGGCCGGTCATGTGGACACCAGTTTGGTCGTCAGTGACTTCATTTCCCGCTGCCAAATCAAATTTTGCCAGTCTTGAGCCTTGCGCCAACCCACATCCGGTAAACGAAACAAGGCACTCCTCGGTAAGCGGTAACCGGGTATATGTAGCAGTCGCTCAAGCCAACACAAGTTATTTAGTGCAACCTGTCGTTCTAAAGAACTAGTTATCACTATTGGCATTCGCCTACGCATACGGAACATGCAAAAGGCCGCTCGTGATCGATTGTCCGTTGCCAGTCGACCAGCAACGCAAGAGAATCGCCTTGTAAGCCCACAGGACAAATTGGCTCGATCGATGAAAAGTCCAGAGGCAGTCAATAAAAGAAGACCACATCGAAATCACGCAACGGAGCGTGGGTTGCCATATAAATAATATGTTGCCTTCTGACCAATATACCGTCAAATCGCAGCCCAGTCTTCGAGTTTGATTCTCGGAGGGCATTACACGACTTAGTGACAGAGGAAAAAAGGAACCGATGAGCAAGCAGCAGCTTTGTTTTGGCTGGCAGCCGCATAACGCGGTGCTTACTCTATTACAGATGACGGAGTGTTCGCTTCCCAAAAACTAGCGCACGTGGAAAGCCAAGTGGATGGATTTTTCCACAATGATGCAGTTGTACAATCATCTGGATGATTACCAGTTGAGGATGCTCCGACCTGCTGTTGGCGATGAAGCAAGATGTGTGGTGGACGCAATCAAATTAGGCGGCGAACATCAAGAGCTCAGTATGAACGATATGCTCCAAAGTTTTGGCGAATTCAGTGAAGGCAGGGCTAAGGAAACTTATCAAGGCTACTTATTTTGCGGTCGAAACCGATTTCCAAGTGAATCTGTCACCAGCTAAGTAACTGAGGTAAAGTTGTTAGCAAGGACATGCAAGTTTTGCGAGTGCTTACGCGATTCGCTTGTGAGAGATCTAATTGCACTGGGCATTCAGGAGGAGAACATTACAAAAAAAGTATTGCAACAGAGAAATCTAACGCTGGACCAATACATCGACATTTGCAACCGCGAAAGAGTAACAGCGTTCCAATTTTGCCAGATAAAGCCCCCACACAATCACTGGACAATGTGTCATTTCTAAGCTCAAGTATGCGATGTCGAAGGAGGCTCTGACACATGGACCAACCTGCCAGTGTTGTCCCGATTGGGGAATAACCTGCATAAAATGTCCGAAGAAGAAGCACCTCGAGAGACGTTGCCGATCCAAGATGAAATCAGTTGACTGCGACGACGCGCCAGCTACTAAAGAACTTGGCATCAGTAACATGGAGCGCTAAGGAGATAAAAAATCGTATATGCGACGATGATCGATGAAAAACGTCCCGTACGTTTCCAGTTGGATACAGGGGTCACGGTCATTATTTTATAG